AAAAAAAAAAAAAAAAAAAAACTAGATAGGACATAGTGTAGGAAGAGCGATACTACCATACAGGATGTAATTATGTGCTTTGATGTTAATAAATCTAAATTTCATATTGGTGGGGAGGACATTAAATTGAGAAGGATTGATGTGAAAATAATTTTTGCCATTAATGATGGACGCGATCCCATGGATTCTTTATTTTATGCTAAGAAAAATATAAAATTTTCTAAAAGGATATTCAAGAAAGATAGCAGGTTGACATCAACCTTGATAAGGAGCAGATTGCTTGAAGCAGCAAGAAGTACAAAAAAACATGACGTTGACGACGTTACAAGACTCCTATGCCTATTCTTAATGATGACACTATTTTTCACACACACTAGGACATCTATAGGATAGGGATTTGTTTCATATGTTGAGGATATAGATGCAATGAAGAAGTACAATTGGTCAAGTGCAATCCATGAATCTCTTATGTTTTCACTTCAAAGAAAGAGTAGCAGCCCATCTGGAGTTACTGGATGTGTAATATTGTTACTGGTAAGATGTTAACAGTCTGATTGTATTTTCAATATTGTTTCCTGTTGTCCAATAAACATAATATAACTCATTTGCTTATATTAAACTTGCATGTATGTGCAGTATTGGGTTTGTGACCATATAACAATTATCATGTCTGATAGTCCAAATGCAATACCAAGAATTCTGAAATGGAAACTGTCAGATCTTCAAAGAGCAATGAAACAAACTACACTTGGAAAGTTGAAGTCAAAATATGTAAGCTGGTTAAATATAACAAATTTAAATTAATATGTCCATCTTACATAATTTTTATATCTTTTTTATGTTATCATATAATACATTTGCATCTTAAAAAACACTGTAATGTCACAATGTAATGATACACTTGCATGTTACACTTATGTTAATTAATGCATACAATTGTATATTTTTAAAATATTGTAAAGGTGTTGAGACATAGATTGAGTAAAATAGCAAAAGAGAAAATTTTTCTGAAATATAAGAGAAGCAAATATGAAGAAATGAGTCAATCTGAATTTGAGGGAAAGATCGAAAGTAGTGAAGTTGAAAAAACACATGCACAGGTGGATGAAGAAGATTTTGAGTGCGATGTGAATAAGCAGGCAGAACATGATACATCTCTTAGTCATCATGATGGTTTGTTGGATGCAATTAGAGGTGGTGGAGATTCAAATGTGGCATTTGAATCTCTTATTAATGCTGCAATAAACGAATCGACGCACAATGTTGATGCTATAGGAGAAAAAGTAGACAGAAACACCCAAAGGCTTCAAGAAATATTGAAGGAAAATGAGGTGTTCAAATTTGTTATATGGAACATTGTCACAGATAAGTGTTATTTGCAGTATTCCTATTATGTTTCTGATAGTGATGGGTTTGACAAATAACACTTTACATTCGCATTGAAAATTCAAGAAAATGAGACGATTATAAATGAGTTGAATGAAGTTGTTGATAATTTGAAAAAGAAGGAACAAACGTTTGAAGCAGAAATACAAGGTTGTAAGGAAATAATACAAAATCTAGAAAAAGAGAACACTGAGTTGATTGATCAAATCTATGAATTATCTGTTCATTTTATAACCCAGAAATATCAAAAAGAAAACATTGTAGGTGAAGATCATGGGAGAAAGGAAAAAACAGAACAAACATCTATAGTCCGGAACATCAAGAAAAGAGACAGGAAACGAAATAGAGATGCAGAATTCGAATACAGGGGAAAAAAAGGGAAAAAATAGATTATGACGTCAGATACGATCAACCCTAAAACCAATTTGAGTGAAGACAAATGTGGGAGAACAGTTAAGATTGTTGATGATGATGACAACAAGAAAAAGTTAACTACCATTCAAGGATTGACAGACAAAGAGATAAAAAAAATGTGGTAGGAGTGTGAAGCATTGGATGCCATAGATTTCAACAAATTGACGACCATATATGATGAAGAGG